TGATGGATACAGTGAGGGCTTCCTCGTAGAGTAAAGTGCAGAGCATGTAGAATGGAATCTTAGCTAAAACGACAAACAGAGTTTAATTATAAGTATTTTAATTTTTGTTTTTTGAAACGATGTATATGAAAAAATTAGTTATTAATTTGTTTATATCAAATGTTAATTAGACGTAGGCTCTCATATTCTGTCTTGTGTACATCTTATTTCTATCAAAATGTAATTAATAAAACATTTTCTTACCACGTTTGCCTCTCCTGTTAAGGCGGTGATGCCATCCCTCAAGATCGTTGTTAGTCCGGATCGTCTGTCTGTATACGACCCAATCCCGAGGTGTGAAAACAGTACCATCTAACCAGAACGATCGCATGTAAGTCATAATTTGCTGCAGCGCAGGGACATCTGCCGAGGAATCCTCAAGACGCTGAAAGACAGGAGCAACATGCTCTACTGGGACCGTGGGCAAAGCCATCAACTGTCTGATTATCTGAATAATAAATATAAAATATAAAAATAAAGTGAATTTTAATACTTTTATTAATGATAAAGAATACTTTTATTAATGATAAAGATTTGTATTAATTAGAATTAATGTTAGATTGATGTTTTATTGTTTATTAATTTATGTTTGTTAAATTTGCTGAATTAAAAAAATATATATGTACCATGTGTGTAGCAGCGTCAAATCGGTAGGCCTGTTGTAATCCAAATTCTTGAACCTTTCGGAACACAGCCTGTAAAAGTAAATAAGTAAAATATAAAAATAGTATGAGTAATAATAGTATTATAATTATTATTATCACGTGGATAAATCAAAATGAAGTTATCGTTTGGGAAAGTTTCAGAATTATATAGGTATACCTGTGTGTAATGGAAGAGGCAGCCGGTCATCGTTACACCAGGCAAAATTTGACGGATGGCTTGCCACACAGGGGACTCATAATCGGTTACCACTTTCCGCACAGCCATTGCAGGCAACATTTTAACATGTTGATTAATATACTGCTAAACCAATAATCAACGATCTTCCTGGCAGACATGACCACAAAGACCAGAGGAACCTGCTTGGTGGTGGTGCCTGATCTGATGAAGCTATGAATGGAGAACAGTTGATAAAAGGGATCCTTTACCAACTTGAACGTGCCATCCGATGTTGCCATCTTTGACACTCCTCGCAAAAGAGGCCCTCTTGCCGATGGGTTACAGCTTCTAAACATTCGATGCATTCGTACATGATGATAACTCAAGAATAAGTAACCATCCTCAGAAACTGAGTTACTTTATAGGGGATGTGCACGTTTGTGTAATAATATTGTTATATGGATTTACAAAGAATTGTCTGAGGCACCGCCGGGCTATCGTACGGGCGCTTCGTCGGTGCTTTTAATATATTTTTTCACACCTCCGTTATTGTTACATCAGGATCAGATTAAACGCATTATTATTTTCAATAATGCAGTATGCTTTACATTC